CGGCAAGAAAATGACGTCGTGTAAAATCTGAGTACTGATCATGATTAGTCCGAAACGTCAGAATAGTTGCATGTTAATCAAAAATTTTATGAAGTGTTATCACGTTTTGTTACGTCTCTCTTCCGCAGAAAAAATTCGTACTATTTTCAAATTTTCTAAATTTAATATATATTTATCTTGTGATTGGATTATCAAACATGGCGATCCCCCCATAATTTCTTTCTTGCGACTGTCAATGTCTGTAAATAACGCCTTTCGCAGAGAAGTGCTTATTTACCTGTTTGTGCCTTTTGCCTTCTTTGACGGTACGATTTTTTCTCAGTTGAATTAAGACCTACTCTCTCTACTGTGATTTTCATATACAGCTGCAGTGCAGAAGTGATGACATTCGTGTGGTACAGATTCGTAAGATGTGCGGTTGACTGACTGCAATGACCCAGGCGGATCTTTCATCTGTAATGATAATCGACACTCGTTTAAACATAATCGATGACATGGTAGAAAGCGTTCAAGAAAATCAATCGCCTAACCTCAGACGGCACAACTGATCCGAGTCTGTTTGGGATATTTCAGAGCAACGAAGATACACTAAGCTTACTTGCGCAGCGCTGCAAAAGTTTGTTTGAACCCCTGCTGCGTAGGCGTAAGGCATATCACATTACAGTGTTGATGTTGATGAGTAAAACACTGAAAATTACGGCGGCATCAAACGTGCTGCTTAATCATGACTTTCACTGAGAATGGACGAACCTTTCGGCGCGACCAATGTGCTAATTGTGACAACATCCCCTACCGTCGTTTTCGAAGCTGCAATGTTTCTGCCCGCGCCGTCATTTGTCATATTTATTACTTGTAGCATTTTATTGGACGAAGAAGGACACATTGCACTGACAGACTTTGGCCTCTGCAAAGAGGCACTCATCGACCAGAAAGCTTATTCGTTCTGTGGGACAGTCGAATACATGGCACCCGAAATAATCAACCGTCGAGGGCATTCCACTGCCGCTGACTGGTGGTCATTCGGCGTACTGATGGTAAATGAATGATGTGAGAAACTTGCGATGGTGTGAACTGTTTGATTCACTTTCTTCATTAAAATATATGCAAATTATTGATTGCCCCGAACTAAAACCAGTTACATCAGCATCAGCAGTTATTGAGGTAGCACTAAGTCTGAATGGTACCATGGCGCGGTGACAGAGTGTGTACAAGTCGGCTTGTAACTCCTTATGGGCCACTTTCTTTTCCGGTCGATGGCCGTTTTTATTTTGAGCTTCAATTCAAAGGAACAAAGAATTTGCCATGCGCTGCATCGGACTGGAACTATTCTGTTAGTATATTCGAAGTCTTGAAATCTCGGGTTCGAGTTCCAAACCTTCACTCGCCTTTCTTCTTTTCACCGTTGATAAATGAGTACTACTCTGTGGGAAGGAAGCAGAAGACA